TTTTTTTTTTTTTCCTGTAGGTTGTTTGAATAAGGATCCAAAATCCTTACAAACAGGATATTTGACAGGCTTAAGTTTCACAACCTATAACATTTTCACATTCCACATTTCTTCCTATGCTGTATGTTTGTTGAAGAAACCACATCTTAGCCCTCTAGAATTCCCTTTTTCTGAACTTGGTTAATGTTGTTTAACATGTTTCTGTATCCTTCCACGTTTCCTGCAAGCTGGTTACTTAGATCTATAAGCTTGCTTTGATGCAGGTTTGATTTTTGGCAAGAGCTTGTATTACTGAGTAGGTCCTCGTGGTGTCACATTGGGGCACACGCATCTGGCTGTCTCACTTTATGTGATGTTTACTGACTCTTCAGTTATAAAGTTCCCCTTCATTATTTCTCATAACACTTTAAGCATCTATTTTGCCAGGATATATTATCCTGAGTTGCAAGTTGCTTTTTTAAATTCAGTTTCTGCATTAGCTGAAAATGTTTTATGAAGAAAACTTCTTATCAACTATTTGGTCACTCAACAAAAACTTAAGGGTCTACAATATGTACAATTACTACCAAGCTCAAAAAACCATTTTAAAAACATTGGCCATACCTTATAGCCTGTGATTATTATTTTTTTTAATTTTTTTAATTTTTTGAGACAGAGTCTGCCTCTGTCACCCAGGCTGGAGTGCAGTGGCATGATCTCGACCCACTGCAACTTCTGCCCCCCAGATTCAAGCAATTCTCCTGCCTCAGCCTCCTGAGTACCTGGGATTATAGTTGCCCACCACTATGCCTGGCTAATTTTTGTATTTTTAGTAGAGATAGGATTTCACCATGTTGGCCGTGGTTGGCCAGGTTGGTTTTGAACTCCTGACCTCAAGTGATCCACCAGCCTTGGCCTCCCAGAGTGCTGGGATTACAGGCATGAGCCACTGGGCCTGGCCAGCCTGTGATTTTTTTAAAGCTATTCATAGTCCAGCCACAAACTTCCTTTCTGTCTCATCCCTGATTTCTAAATACACACCTAGTTGATAAGCTGCTCAACACCGATTCTACAGCTTTTAAATTAAGGGCATTATCCAAGCTCTCTTCGTGCAATCCCAACCTGTTCTTCATTCTCCCCATGATGTCTTGCTTGGTACACCTGCAGCCTCCTCCTCTTTCTCCATGGCCCTGGTGTTAGTAAGCTATCCGTAAGCCCTTTCTTCCATAGGTTCAGTCTGAACTTCCGGGTGTCAAAAAGTGGGGTGGCTTAGTCCCTGTTGTCACAATGTTTCCCACGCTCTTCTGGCAATTTCATGTTGTTGCTGAACACGAGTTGCCAGGATGTGACTGCTGGGCTGGCTGGTGCTCATGGGCTCTGACCCCTCTCAAAAGTCCTCCCATAGCTGCTCTCAGCATCCTGTGGCTCTTCTCTGACACAAGGCTATGCATGCAGGCAGGTCCCTAGTCTTTGCCCTGTGCATTGTACTTCTGCAGAAAGTTCAGAATTGCAGTCAGATGCCACATTTCTGCTTTCCTCTAATAGAGCACTCCTCTCCACCCCCGTCTCTCTCTTTCATGGATCAGTTAGACTGATTCCTTTCAGTGAGCCTGTGGGGTTGAGAAAAGATGTGAATAACAATTGCTATATTCCTAAACACTCACCTATCTACTTTTATTAATGGCCTTGTTTACTCAGCCGCCTAGGCTTCACATGGTATCTATCTTTGATATTTTCCTTTTCCTAGCTTTCCATTCATAATGTCACATCAATTTGGTCTCCAAAATGTCTCATATTGCTTTTTGCTCGTTCTTTGAAATTGTTTTCTCACCTCTATTACCTCATGTTCCAATGCCCAGCTGTGTGGCAGACACACCTGAATGTGTTTAGAGTTCCAAGCGTGGCCAACCAGGAGATTCATTCCTTACCTATTAGAAATATCTGAGCTCCTGTCTAATCCTATAGGAACAGAGGACATACAGGGGATGGAGGTCCTCTGTTTTGGGTTAGATAAAGGTTGCTAGGTGAAAGTTGTTAGGGGGAGACAGCGAGTGGAGATGCTATATAAAATGCATGCTTTTTGCAAGCAGTTGCAGTTCTGCCTAGCCTGTCACTACTGGACCTCCCTGTTAGTAAGCTATCCGTATCCCATGTCTTGTTCGCTGGCTCTGGGTCTCTGGCCTCTTGAACCTGGTGCCTTCCCTACTGAGGTGAAGAGGGGTTCAGCACCACACCACCTAACTGATTTTTCTGACTTCATGCTCTCCTTTTCCAAACTATTTTACACATTATTTCTGGTTATAAAGGTACTATTTTCTTTTAGCATTGTCAGCCATACCTCAATAATTTGGAAAAATACTATTTTATTATATTTTGAACTTTTAAAAGTATGCAAATGTACCTAAATGTAGAACACCAAAATAAACTCCCATGATCCCATTACCTAGCTCCAACAGTTACCAAATATTGCCTATTTTGTTCTATCTACTCTTCCCCCTTTATTCTGGGGTATTTATAAAAGAGTTTCAGATACTATATTGTTTAACCCACTATGTAACTCTAACCAACAAGAACTAGGTGTTATATATTATATATAGTCATATATAATATATAATAGTCATATAATACATACCATATTAAGCTCATTATAACATATATATTATTGATATATATTATATATCAGATTTTAACGATATGATAAAGGTATATTAATGTATATATATATATAAGTATTATATATATAACTATATAATACAACCACTCATAACATATAAAGTATAATATATAATAGAATTAGCGATTTAAAACTTATTTTTATATATATATATATATATTTTTTTTTTTTTCCTGTAGGTTGTTTGAATAAGGATCCAAAATCCTTACAAACAGGATATTTGACAGGCTTAAGTTTCACAACCTATAACATTTTCACATTCCACATTTCTTCCTATGCTGTATGTTTGTTGAAGAAACCACATCTTAGCCCTCTAGAATTCCCTTTTTCTGAACTTGGTTAATGTTGTTTAACATGTTTCTGTATCCTTCCACGTTTCCTGCAAGCTGGTTACTTAGATCTATAAGCTTGCTTTGATGCAGGTTTGATTTTTGGCAAGAGCTTGTATTACTGAGTAGGTCCTCGTGGTGTCACATTGGGGCACACGCATCTGGCTGTCTCACTTTATGTGATGTTTACTGACTCTTCAGTTATAAAGTTCCCCTTCATTATTTCTCATAACACTTTAAGCATCTATTTTGCCAGGATATATTATCCTGAGTTGCAAGTTGCTTTTTTAAATTCAGTTTCTGCATTAGCTGAAAATGTTTTATGAAGAAAACTTCTTATCAACTATTTGGTCACTCAACAAAAACTTAAGGGTCTACAATATGTACAATTACTACCAAGCTCAAAAAACCATTTTAAAAACATTGGCCATACCTTATAGCCTGTGATTATTATTTTTTTTAATTTTTTTAATTTTTTGAGACAGAGTCTGCCTCTGTCACCCAGGCTGGAGTGCAGTGGCATGATCTCGACCCACTGCAACTTCTGCCCCCCAGATTCAAGCAATTCTCCTGCCTCAGCCTCCTGAGTACCTGGGATTATAGTTGCCCACCACTATGCCTGGCTAATTTTTGTATTTTTAGTAGAGATAGGATTTCACCATGTTGGCCGTGGTTGGCCAGGTTGGTTTTGAACTCCTGACCTCAAGTGATCCACCAGCCTTGGCCTCCCAGAGTGCTGGGATTACAGGCATGAGCCACTGGGCCTGGCCAGCCTGTGATTTTTTTAAAGCTATTCATAGTCCAGCCACAAACTTCCTTTCTGTCTCATCCCTGATTTCTAAATACACACCTAGTTGATAAGCTGCTCAACACCGATTCTACAGCTTTTAAATTAAGGGCATTATCCAAGCTCTCTTCGTGCAATCCCAACCTGTTCTTCATTCTCCCCATGATGTCTTGCTTGGTACACCTGCAGCCTCCTCCTCTTTCTCCATGGCCCTGGTGCGGGCTCTGTTTATTAACGACATCTCACACAGCTGTATTTAACTGATACCACTTGAGATCTTACAGAGATTTTTCCAATGCTTACCTCTTGTTTCTTTAATTGGACTCTAAGCTCTTTGGAGCCTCAGCGGCCTTAGTCTTACTTATTTCACTATGTGTTCTTCTTTACTATTTCTAGTAGCTTAATATCTCCTGACTGATATCAGCAATGCGGCTGACTGGTGGCAAAAGCAAAACTGGAGAACTGAAGGGCAGGAATCATTTACGTGTGATAATTTCTTATAAGATGAATTGGGTTCCTCCTAAATTCATGTTGAAATCTTAATCCCTAGTACCCCAGAATGTGACTGTATTTGGGGATAGGGGTTTTAAATAGGTAATTAAACTAAAATGAGGTCATATAGACCTTATACAATATGACTGTTGGACCTTCATCCAACATGACTGGTGTCCTTAGAAGAGGAGTAAATCTGAACACTGAGCACAAACCATGGGGCAACCATGTGAGCACATAGCAAGATGGTGACCATTTGCAAGCCAGGGAGAGGCCTCAGAAGAAATCAAGCCTGCTGACATCTTGGTCTTAGACTTCTACTCTTCAGAATAGTGAGAAAATAAATTTCCACTGTTTATGTTGCCCAGTCTGTGACACGCTGTAATGGTAGCCCCAGCAAACTAATATATTTCCCTTTTAGTGAGTCTAGGCCCAGAGTCTGATAGTGTTCCCTCAGTGCTAATGAGGGAGAGAGGTTTAATAAATACTGATACTTGGGTCCCATTCCTACAGTTTCTGATTTAATCAATATGAGGTGTGACCTGGCACTCCCTAGGTGAGGTTAATAAGCAACCGATGTAGAGAAAAATAGCTTTAGAATGATTTTACTGTTTTGCTTCATGTTTAGTATTTCACAGACTGATGGAAATCTTGCTTTCTTTCCCTCATATGTAAAATTTAGGCAACATGGTTCTTGTAAATTCAGTGTTGAGCCAATGTGATAGGTTGCCAACACGTGGAATCCAACGATGCTACTCAACATCCTGAAATGTGAGAAAGACAGTGAGGCACTAGGCAGGCAAACAACAGAAGGACCATCTCATAGTTAATTTTTTTTCTTTGACATAAGAGGCACAGGTTGTAGTAACAGGAAAAAAAAGTAATTTACAACGAACGTGACAATGTAGTGTCTCATCTGGAGAATTTTCATGAAAGTTTACTTCTTCGAATTCAGCCTAATCAAGGGCGCACGCTAGTTGCAAACTATCACTCTGGATTTTCTGGTGTCATTAAAATAGCTTACATTTCTGTATAACAGAATTTCTTGATCTTCTCTAGGTCCTCCAAGACTGTCAAAATGGAATCTATTTCCTTGACCAAACACCATTATAATGTCATTTACTCCCTCTTTTCTATATCTGTTCAAAACCTAAGAAATAAAAGTTTTATTTCTGAAATCAGCTCACAAAATAGTTGAGCCAACCCTGTGGCTTTTTAAAAATTGAGTTGTTAGCTGGGTGCAGTGGCTCATGCCTGTAATCCCAGCACTTTGGGAGGCCAAGGCGGGTGAATCACCTGAGATAAGGACTTTGAGACCACCCTGGCCAAAATGGCGAAACCCTGTCTCTACTGAAAATACAAAAATTATCCAGGTCTGCACTCCCAGCTACTCAGGAGGCTGAGGCAGGAGAATCACTTGAACCTGGGAGGCAGAGGTTGCAGTGAGCTGAGATCACACCATTGCACTCCAGCCTGGGCAACAAAGCAAGCCTCTGTCTCAAAAAAAAAACAAGAGTTGTTTGAGGAAATCAAAATATCTCCAGACATATTTGTTTATTCAGTAAAAAACCAGGACTGCTTGACTGATGCTGGGGAGACTGGAATCTGGGAGAACATGAGAGAAGACTCCAGGTGCTCCACTAGCCAGTGCTACAGAAGAGCATAAACTAACCCCAATACCCTTGCAAAGGTGTGGTCTCCTTCAGTCTTCCCATCTGAACCTGTGGACTTGCTAAATCTTTACTTGAAAGACATGGCACTCAAGTCTTAGGCTGCTCTAGTCCAAGAAAGAGAATACCAATATAAAATATTTCCAGAAGTTTTTGTATCATTTTTAAAAAACTACCAGGATAGAAATTTCTCTGCCAACATAACTTTTGCTTGCTTACAACTTTGTAATATCTCTATTAGAGAAAGAAAAACACCTTCCTCAGTGCTCCAAATCAGAAGGAAAAATGCTGATTGGTTGATATCCCTGCCAATCATCTTAGTTATACAAGGGAGGCAGGCATCCCAAGGGAGAGAAGCAGAGACCAAGTCATGTTGAAAGGGTCTGCCTCTGTGTGTATGTCTATTTGTCTGTCCCTCCATGTGGTTGTGGGGACAGGGTAGAAGATAGTGGGGTGGTCTGTATTCCGCTGGACCTGTAAATTAAAGAAAACCAACTCACTAGCAGATTGTTGGG